GAGAGAGTTCGCCATACATCATGGTACAATAGAGAGGTTGCATGTTAAACTTAGTCCAAATTTAATTCCACTTGGCACCAAGAGAGATTGATTTATCAGCTTTATTAGCCTTTAGGCTCATAGTAAAATTAGTATTCTATATAAAGATTAGAGACAAGTTCCGCAAGCTATTAAGGATCAAGTTTCGAAAGAAATTCTAGTAAGTACCACAAACTTTATTAATGTCATTTTTATAGTATTTTTGTTAATTTTTGACTTACCTAAAACTTAATTATGTTATAGTTGATCTATGATATTTCTGCTACCTCTAAAAAGAAAAGGTATTGGTTAGAAAATATTGTTGAGTGGTGGAAGGATTTCAAGTCCAAACTAACTAGAGATTTCATCTGTATAAATGGGAAGAAGGCGGGTCAAGATCTGTGTCGAGAGTATAATTTTCTTGATCATGACACTTGGAGACAATTTGTGGCATCTTGAAACAATCCTAAATTTTAGATAATAAGTCGTCACTTAATTTTTGTAGAATGTTTTTTGACTTCACTAATTTAATTTTTTTCATTTGTAAAGAAATTAAGTGTCGCAAATAAAGTAATACAATCACAAAATATATTTGCTTATTACATGTCTTGTGGGGGATATTGAAAAGTTGAGCAAAAGCTAATTGAGGAAGATTAGAAGAAAATGGAGGAAGTAGAAAAATCAAACCACACTATTGTTGTTCAGCCCTACGATGCCCAAAACATCAAAGAAAATAGAAGGCTGGGAGGATCATGAAGGGGAACTATATCACTCCAGAGGCTACTACAGTTGCTAAAAAAGATTGTAAGTAGTTAACTATTTTTATTTTTTCTTCTAATTGTTTTTGAAGATTAAGTAATCACTTGACTCATATGTTATAGGATTTACTTGAGGAGAAAGCTGCTCAAGGCTCCTCTACTCCTAGTGGAAGGATAAACATTCTATCAACTACAAAAGCCGAAACATCCTAGTCAAGTTAGAGGGGTTGATAGAGGAGTTGGTCTCAAGCAATACTTTAAACTGACTCCACAAAGCTCTCCAGGAAATATGTCCAAAGATGAGATCCATCAATTGGTGGCCAAGGTTAAGGAAGATACTCTAGCTGATGTTTGACAAGAGATTTGAGCCGAGGTTCAATAAGAGGTTGAGTAAGAGTTTTGTGAATCATTCTGGGAAGATATGATAGCCTAGATCTATGTCATTGGTCTGATAGTTTCGAGAGTTGATCATTTACTTTAGGTTTGTTCCATTTAATTTAATTTAATATAAACATGTGTCTAATTTAATTTAACATAGATTTGTATTTCATATAGACGTTTCTTGTGATACCAAGCACAAAAGGTAGCAATAATCCATCAGGGACAATGGCACTGGCATTAATTAATCCTAATTCCCCTGTACCAGATAATAATAAAGGAACTTCTTGTTATCTTTACCTAGAGAATCTAAAAAAAATGTATTGTTGTCGAAAGTCAAGTATACAAGTTTGGGTCTACAATTCATCATTAGAAGATTAAAGAGGACCAATTTAGGGTGACAATTACATGTGTTCAAAAGGATGAGAATAATGTACAATTGCCATTTCCTACTTCCAAGTTTACAACAATAGGCCAAGCAAAAGGTTCTTTCATTTTATGGCCTAAAAATCTTGTGTCAGATATCAATACAACATCACTAGAGGTAAAAAAACAAGTTAACATTATGTTATTTTCTTTAAGCTATTTAATTACTTATATAACTCTTTCATTTTATGTTTTAATAGGAACCTATAAATGCTATTAAATTTCCCTTCCTGGCACAACTGCATGAAACTTGCAAACATATGACAAAAGGCATTACTGTTAAAATGCCACTTAGACTCGTGGGTATGGAAAGAGAATATGATTTTGAATTTGACAAGACAGATCTCAGGGAGTTTCTAAATTTAAAGGAGCTAGACATATCATGGGCCAAATTGGGAATCTTGTAATTTTTCTGTCTACTTTTTTTAGTTCATTTTATTTTCAGACCATTAACATTTTGATCTCATCTCAATGATAGGTATCTCTATAATATTTGTTGTGCAATGGAAAAACAAAATACATTTAGATTTTTGTGCCCGAAAGCTGTGCAGAAAGCTCACAACGTAATACATAGAAGGATGACATATGTATGAATCATATGTTGGACACGAAAATGCCATGTTATCTAGTGCCAATTATTAATGGGAAAATATTTTTTATTTATGAATGTGTATTCGTGTGTGTGTGTGTGTGTGTGTGTGTGTGTGTGTGTGTGTATTCATGTTATCTAATACTCTTATAAATTTTTATATGCTGCAGCTACCATTGGTCACTTTGTGTTATTTGTCCAAATCAAGGTGTAGTATATTGGTTTTGTTCTCTGGGTAGAACACAAAGCAACGAGTTAATATGAATTTTAAATAAGTAAGTTTTTATCTACATAAAATTTTACTTCTAGATATATTTATACATTTGTAATATTTTTTCATTTACAAATGATAATAGTGCACTTGAGACATATTATATGCTTACATTTGGGAAATGCAAGTCAAAATCATCGGTGGAATGGATTTACCTAAATGTAAGTATGAACCTCTAACTTTCATATTTAATTATTCTTTGCATGTTTTGGTTTAATTTTAAATTTTCATTTATTTTAATGCCATAGGCAACCAGGAAGCACAAAATGTGGATATTATATTATCCGTTACATGTATGAGATAATTCAAGTTGAAACTACTAAAAGATTACAAGAGGTATTTAGTTTTGTTATTTTAGTTCAAATTCTTGTATTTAATTACTTTAAATTATTATTCTCATTAATTTTATCATTTAGATTTTTGATAATACGGAGCCTTATAATGAAGAAGAGATCGATAGCATTCGGGATATTTTAGCTCAACAACTTCTCTAAAAATACTTTTCAAAGTGATTGAACATAATTTTATAATTTTTAATAGTTGAACAAATATATAATGTAGTTATAACTTGTTGTATATTGATTATAGTTGTGTTGGCTGACTGTTTATAATCTATACCATTTTCATTTTTTCAGCTGTAGGTGTGTAGAAAATTAAAAAAAATAAAAAAAAGACCTTTAACCACGATTCTTCAAAAACTATGGTTAAAAAGATCGTGGTTAAAAATCATTTTAACTACAGTTATATATGATAACCATAGTTTAAAAGACTTTTAACCACGATTTTTGAAGAACCGTGGTTAAAAGTCTAATTTTGAAAAAAAATTTGAATTATTTTTTTTGCACAGTTTCAACGTTGGTTATAAATATAACCAGCATTAAATATTTACTTTTCACTTTCCATTTTTCCGCTTTCCCTTAATAATTGATGTTAAAAGGTTAAAATAACTATTGTTAAAAGTTCGTCCTGCAGTAGTGTCAATTTTCCTCAAAACACAATTTAATTATTAATTAAACATTATAATTTTCTTAAATTAAATTCCTTAATAAAAAACTTAATCTTATAATTTTTTTAAACTAAATTGTCAATTAAAAATAGGATGTTACAATTCTCTCTTCCTAATAGAAATTTATCCTCAAAATTCAAATACCCAAGTAACACACATGTTTGGAATAGTTATGAGTATCACTACTCTACCTTTCCTCTCCCATCTAAGTCTCAATATTGTAACTCATGTCCTCTCAGTATTTTTACTAAAAGGATGGTTCTAATTCTCAGCTGTCTATACTTTACATCCCTAATCCCTTTCTATTCTATCCAGTGGTTCAAATTTCTTCTCAACTCACATCTTCTACCTTTTCAACTTCATATTACATTATAAGGGTTCAAGATTTTTCACACCTAACATTATCCATAACCACTTACAGTGGTACTAATACTATAAATCACGTTAAAATCCTGTGAATTACAACATCATTCCTCACTTAAAACACTATGATTTTAACCTGCGAGCTCTCTAATTAATCTACTCACAGCTTTGGCAGTACAGATATACAAAAGCCTTATCATGGCACTTATGAGTAATATGTTTTCATCCTCTATTAATTAATAGTTCTAGTGTTTTACAGGTAATCGATCGAGTTCACATCGGCGATATTTATTCTCAACTAACCATAAGATATTTCATTAATGACCTCTAACTCTAATATTAGAGATAATCAAAAATTTCAATAACACCACTAGTTATACACTCATTTACATGTTCAACAAGTAGAGTTTAAGGTAGTCATACAAATATTTCAATATATTCATGACACTTCATAAAACATTATGGTTATATATATATATATCTGAAAAATTCTCCTCTTTTTTTTTTTAGAATATTTTCATATATGAATACAATCCCAATATCATTTACTTAACCAAATAAAGGAGTAACAAATAATGTATGGAAGCTAAGCTTGATCCTTATCATTCCCTTTTTAGTGCACCCAATATTATATTGCTTGAACCTCAATATGATCCTTATCGCTCCCTTGTTAGTGCACCCAAGCTTGATACAAGCATAAAGTTTGGCTTTGCCTCTATTCTTGTCATACTCCACATTAGACCCCTAGAAGTGGAGTAAACTCCAATTGTCAATGTATATATACACATACACACAATAATTAATAATTGCATAAATCATTATTGGAAAATATACTCGCATATTTGAATGAATAACTTCAAGGTCCATAAAAGTTAGTTTTGATAACCAACAAATACAAAGATTTTTCCTTTTCAAGTCTAGATTTCACATTCTCTTCAATTACTGCAACAATTCCAAAATCCTTAGTGTTATACCTAGTTACATAGACCTTTTATTATAATATAGTAATCCATGGGTTTATAGAAATACCAAAGCAATTAGATATATATATTTAATTTCCTATATCTACTTATACCCGAAATCCGATGTCATAAAAAATTTATAACTTTACCTACTTTACAAGTTAAAATTTCAAAATTAATTGGCCTCAAATATAAAATTGATCAAAAAAAATAAATGTGTATACCAAAACTAATTGGGTCTAACCACTACTGCTATCCATATGTTAAACACGGCCTGAGCTACCTCTTCAAGGTTTTCCTCTATATGTGCAGCTGCATATCGAACACAGTAGGCATCCTCAAAGTACTATATGCAAAGAGTTACAACAAATTCAAATTAATAGCTATCTAACAAAAGTTGTTAAAATTTATAATTTAAGTATCATTAAATTTAATATATATACCTTATTAGATAATGTGGTAGGGGCATGGGTGATAATGTCCTTCAAGAATCTCATCAAGTAATAGCCATAGTCATTGCTCTGATTTGATTGGAGTTGACACTGTGAAAAAAAATTACATATTAATAAAATAAAAGTGAAAAGGTCATGGTTTGTTAATTAAAAACTTAGCCTATTACATTTACCTTAATTGTGACCCATGTCTCATAAGAGTCTAATGCCCTTAAGTTAGGGGACAAGGTCTTGTTGGTCGTAGTACAATATAAGACTACAGCTCTAAGAAGGAAGTAAAGAATAAATGTCAAAAATTCATTATATATGGATATTAAAATAACAATTGATAAAAATTCAACTTACTTATTAAAAAGTTCTATCATATTTGGCCTGTTGCTTGGTTCTCCATTAAGAGGATCAAGATACCAAATTTTTGGAGCAACAGGGTTAACTACAATAAGCATCCAGTGCCCCTTAATAAGAAATAACAAGTATTATCAAATAAGTAAATATAAAAAATATTTACTTCTACCAAAAGTAGCTAGAAAGGGGCTTACCCTTGGTAGTAAGGAGTAAGAAATAAAGTATCATTGCTTTCTCTCCTATCCTTAAATTGATTCGAAAGCTGCCTTGCTTGATCAAGAGCTTCCTTTATAAATCCATTATAGGCAGAGACATCGTGGGGATTAATCAGCTTGAATCTTGACTCAAGGTTGCTAGGAACCACAAATGAGGTATAAAGGTGGCTTAGGTGAAAAAATAACTAGGTTAATATACGCGCGTGCACACACACACACACACAATTTAAGTAATTATTTGAGCATTATTAAAGAAATACCTCATATAGAAGCTTATCAGACTAGTATTGGCCATTTCATGCTTGAGAATTTCATTTAAATTTCATCTCGAATAACTTCAAAGAAGCCCGGTCTTCCATACAACCCATCATCAAAACTAATGATATCCCCCAATCGCCACTTAACGAGCCATCCTCATAGCCATCGCATATGTCTTAAGAGACACACGGTATTTATATTTTATAGTTAGCACCGGTGCTGTTGGATATTGTGAAACTATGGTTGACTCTTTGGTATGGCCTGACTTACCTTTCAGCTTGCTCTTCCCTCTCAACTGCACAATAAAAAATTTAGATATTTATAATTATATTATAAAATTATAAATAACTATTTAAATTGTACCTTTTTCTTTGGAGGCATTGGGTCCTTTGCTGACTTTGATGTTACCACTATTACAAGGTGGTTAGGCCATGCAACGAAGCTTCCTACTGCTTCCCCCACCGTCTGTGCCTCATTAGTAGGAACAGGCAATAGATAGTTAGGGTCGATGGCAACAAGTAGATAAACTCTAACACAGTTGGGCAGGAGGGGATGATTATGGATCATATCCCTGGAAATGTTATACACACACCCTGTTGCAACTACTCTACTTTCAAGAGTTTCTACTAAAAAATTGCAATTGTTCTTGCCCTAATTAAACAAACAATGACAATCAGTTTCTAAAATAAAAATAATTAAAAAAATTCATAAGATAAAACATATTATCTCAGGTAGTTTTTCTGAGGGAACTGTGCAACTATCTTTCTAACTAGGGCTAATCTCACCCAAAGTCCTCCCAGGGACTTGCCCTTTCAACAACATGTCAATTAATGCTGCTTGGGCTTATAGTTGCTGCTTCATAACGGCTTGCTCTTCTTTCAGCTCTTAGATCTCAGACAAAGAAGCTGTTGTTGCTTCTTTATCTTGCTAAATTATTATTTCTTCGTGACACTGAAGCCGACACCCCTGACATGACCAGGTTGGTTAACAGTTCTTAATGCCCTAGCCAAGATATCTTCATCCTTAGGAAGGTTGCCCTGTGAGACTTCCTGAGAGATGGAATCCTATGTAGAGTAAATATGATTAGTTTAGATATTCATAATTAACTATTAAGTAATAGATAAATGAAATACTTATAATCTTTTTAGTAACCTCCTTCATCTGGGGGTTGTCAAATTCCTTCTTCATTAGTGTGTGCCAATGCCTAGAGCTTATGGCGAGATATGGTAACCTTTGATCCCTCCTCCTTTACTTGTTTTTACTCAATGCCTACATACCCCAACCTCCTTGCTCTATAAGGATATTCGTTCTTTGCTACTCTCTCTATATTCTAAGCATTCAATTCCTTGACAAGTTAATAACAAAAAATTTTGTTAGTATATACACATATAATTAATAAATAACACCAAACTTGAAATTTAAGAAACATTAATACCTTGAATTCCTTCTCACGCTGTGAGGCAACAAAAGCATCCCAATCCTCTTGTTTTACCAAAAGCTATAATAAGGGAGGAACTTGGCTACAAATTCAGCATCAGGATCTTTCAAATATTTCTATGTGATGAAATATCTAAAAGACCGTAGTGCCCTCCCAGCCTTTTGTAGTACAAAATCTTTCCTACTCTCATCATTGTCAAATCCTGACTGCAAAATAAAATAAACAACATATCAAATGCATTAATTTTAAAAATAGTTTATACTAAAATATACTTAGTAGAATGTAACTTACTGCTATAGTATCCCAAACAGGAGCCTTCATGGCCTCATCTACTTTGCGCCACGATTTTATTGTGATAGGCATAGTAGTCTTTGCCACCACCCTAATATAACTTATAAATTTTGAGAATTTTATTGCTTGCCCTTTCTTGTTCCATTGCACATCAATTTTTTTTTCTGCAGCTCTTGTCTTTGTCACCTCTTTCATTATCGTTAGGCCTTGTTAATGTTATTGTACTCTTGCTCTAGCTTTTCTTGTGTACTCAGAACCTCAGTCGAATTCGTAGCTAGAATTGATGGAGGGGTATCAACAGACTCACTATCAGAAGCCATTTATCTGTAAAGGAAGACAATTAAATCAAACATTAATTAACTTAAACAAAAATCACATAACATTAATCAACTTAAGTAAAAAGAACACAATTAATCAACTTAAAAAAATTTAAACAAAATTCACATAATTGATTCAAATATTAATCAACTTAAATAAAAAGAACACAATTAATTAACTTAAACAAAAAGTTTCATCATTCAAGTTCTCATATAACTTAATTATACTCAATCAAGTTACCCAACAACAATTGATATAAAAATTTTATCCTAAAAAATTCAGCAACATAATAGCTGAAACAAAAGAGTTTTTTCAGGTTAACCCTCTCTTATTCAAAAATTTCATCATTTACAAGTTCTCATATAATACTTATACCCAATCAAATTATCCACAGTCACAATTAATACAAAAATTTTGTCCTATAAATTTAATATAACTCAATCATATCTAATCAAGTTATTCAACAACAAAATTAATCACCATCACCATAACAAGAGAAACAAATTTTCAACAAATTTATATAATGCCCAATAGTAAATTAATTTTTATATAATCTTAAATTTAATTTCATAACTAACAAAGAACCAAAAACCAAAGCCTATATATATTCAATCACAAATCATAGCTCTAATGAACAAAAAATTCATATTCCAATTGCTAATTCCAATAAACTCCCTAATTACAATCAATTGACAACAATACCACAAGGAAGAAGCATAGGCCGACTTACTTAAGAGAGGCAAAGCATGAGGATGAAGAAGAAGAGTAGGGGAATTAGGAAAGAAGATAACTTGCGTTTTGCACTATTGAAAAGCAAGTAGAAAAATTTGAATTCAGATTTATCCTAAATACTAAACCCAAAAATGAATTAAATAGATGAAGGAGAAATTACACTTACATATGGAAGATGGAGAATGAAGCCAAAATGCTTGAAATGAAAACTTTGATGAATGAACAACCCATGAACCCCAAAAAATGGAACCCATGAAGAATCGAGTCTAAATTTGTGTTTTTGGGCAATTTCAGTGATGGAAAATGATTTTCAAGCACTTTGGGTGTGTTTTCGAAAACGTTCGAGTTGTAGAAATGTGAAAATGAAAGGTTTTGGAGTATAAATTTAAAAGGCAATACTTGACGGTTATTTCATAATAACCATCAAGTATTCCTTACTTGACACTTGTTATTAAATAACCATCAAATAGAATACAGAAATACTTGACGGTTATTAATAAACAAACATCAAGTAATTAATTTTTTTATTCTTTTATTTAAATCATATATTTGATGCTTATTTACAAATAACCGTTAAGTATGCAGATATATTTGACAGTTATGTCAATATAACTATTAAATATGTACTAAATACTTGATGGTTTTTTTGAAACAACTATCAAGTATTTAGAGCTTTTTTTATTTGTCGTTTTACACTTATAATCATCAAATATAAGGCATCATATTTAGCTTATTTTGTTGTAATGATAAGGAATCACTTCTCTTAGGAGCATCAATATAAGAACACCCTTCCTTAACCAACCCACAAAATGTACAACCATAGTAGCTAAACCAAAGTTTTCTCTCTGCAAAATTAAAATATGGTCTTTTGTCCACTTTTTGAATCCAAAACACAACAAACCACACACAAAAAGCCAAATAGTTTGGTTTAGAGTTTAGGATCAAAATACAATGTGAAGTTATCTTACATCTTAGACATGTAGATTAAGTAATTGAGCCTTCTCAACATATGAAACCAAAATCAATCACAAATCCCAATTTGATGCTTGATTATCTTAGAAAACAATCTCTTTGGATTCAAAATAGAGTTTATGTAGGTAGGGTAATAAAAATTCATTTTATAATACAACAGTTTGTGACATGAGAATTTGTCCCAAACTAATAAAAATTAGTTATGTTCCATATTAACTTCATAACCTATGTGCTTATAGCATGACATCACCAATTTTTAGCATGATTATATTCAAAAGATATTTCTTTGAAATCCCCATGAATCTTGAACAACTTAAACAACGCACAAAGTTAAACAATTATTGAGTTCCTCTCATTAAGATCTAAGCTTAAGTAATTATTACTGATCAATGCAAACATCAATTCAGAAAATAAGAGTTTGTTTTTAAAATCTAGTCTTAATATATAAGAATCATTTTTTTTAGACCCCAGAGTGAAATCGCACATGCATTGTTACAAAGTCAAACTCTAATTCAAAATATTCATTTTCAAGTACAAAAAACCTTGATTTAACTTTTCAATTGTACATAGCTAGGTTACCATACTACAAAAATAGCTCTAACTCAATTTCAACTAATTTCAATTAAATCCATACTCTTTTTTTTATGACTAGGTAATGTTAGGTAACTTCAATAGCTTTTATAAGACATTAAACAGAATGACGTGTAATATTAATTTACTAAAAATTATAAAAGATTAATTCTACCAGAATTATATATTCAAGGCTATTGAACTCACAAAGTTAACTAGAGTTTCTACAATCTTGGTCGCAATTACATGTCCCAAGAGTGGAATAGCAAAGAAAAACATCTACCCTCAATGTAATTTGACTTAGAATGAGATACCAATTAATTCACAATATTAAAGTGACTTATGTGACTTTACAAATCTAATCCTCTCATTAGTACAAAACATAAAAAAAAAAACTAAACAATAAATAATAGACAAAATGTGAATTAATAATAAAATGTCAATCAAGTTTAATTAAATATGTCAAAATTCAAACACAATAAATGTATCTCGATTCAGTAACAATTAAATAAAAAATTTAATTGAAATTAATTAAGAAATTAATGAAAATATTTATTACATATTTATTTAAATTTAAATAATAATTAATTTTAATTAAATGTGTCTCAATTCAAACTTATTAATGTGTTTGAACTGAGACACATTTATTGTGTCTAAATTTAGATACATTTAATTAAAATTGATTAATAAAATAATTAAATAACATATAAAATTAAATTAGAATTAATTAATAATTTAAAAAATAAATAATTAATTGTGCCTGAAATTCAGACACACTTATGGCTACAAGTGCCATACGTGCTGGTCCTGATTAATCAATTTACTTTATACCTTTTACTCTGCGTGCCCTCAGCTCCTCATTCCTGCCTCTCACTACCCTTTCTCATTTCCCTTAGGTCTCTCTCACACCCCCAGCTCCCCTCACTACCCTCAGATCATTAAAATTTTTAAAAAAAGTACATTAAATAATAGATAAAAAGTTAATTAATAATAAAATGTTAATCAATTTTAATTAAACATGTCCAAATTCAGACACAATAAATGTGTCTCAATTCAGAAACAATTAAATAAAAAATTTAATTGAAATTAATTAAGAAATTAATAAATAAATATTTATTACATATTTATTTAAATAATAATCAATTTTAACTAAATGTGTCTCAATTCAAACATATTAATGTGTTTGAACTGAGACACATTTATTGTGTCTAAATTTAGATACGTTTAATTAAAATTAATTAATAACACAATTAAATAAACATAAAAAAGTAAATCAGAATAAATTAATAATTTAACAAATGAATAATTAGCTGTGTCTGAAATTCAAACACACTTTTGGCAATAGGGGCGTGTGGTCATTAATCAATTTACTTTGTACCTTTTACTCCGCGCGCCCTCAGCTCCTCAATCCCGCCTCCCGCTATCTTCTCTCATTTCCTCAAGTCTTTCTCATGCCCCACCTCCCCTCATTGCCCTCAGGTCATTAAAATTTTTTTAAAAAATTGTACAATAAATAATAGATAAAATATTAATTAATAATAAAATATTAATCAATTTTAATTAAATGTGTCTAAATTCAGACACAATAAATGTGTCTCAATTCAGAAACAATTAAATAAAAAATAAAAAATTTAATTGAAATTAATAAACAAATATTTATTACATATTTATTTAAGTATTAATCAATTTTAATTAAATGTATCTCAATTCAGACATATTAATGTGTCTAAACTCAAACACATTTATTGTGTCTAAATTTAGACACATTTGATTAACATTGATTAATAAAACAATTAAACAAACATAAAAATTAAATAATAAGAAATTAAATTAGAATTAATTAATATTTAAACAAATAAATATTTAAGTGTGTCTGAAATTCAGACACACTTATGGTGACAGCCGCCACACGTGCCAGTCACCATTAATCAATTTATTTTATACCTTTTACTCTGTGTGCCCTCAGCTCCCCGTTTTTGCCTCTCACTGCCCTTTCTCATTTCCCTCAGTTTCGTTGCCCTCAGGTCATTAAAATTTTAAAAAAGCTGTACAATAAATAATAGATAAAAAGTTAATTAATAATAAAATGTTAATCAATTTTAATTAAATGTGTCAAAATTTAAACACAATAAATGCATCTCAATTCATAAACCATTAAATAAAAACAAAAAATTTAATTCAAATTAATTAAGAAAAAAATAAATAAATATTTATTTAAATATTAATCATTTTTAATTAGATGTGTCTCAATTCAAACATATTAATGTGTCTAAACTGAGACACATTTATTGTGCCTAAATTTAGACACATTTAACTAAAATCGGTTAATAAAACTATTAAATAAACATAAAAAATTAAATTAAAATTAATTAATAGTTTGACAAATAAATATCTGAATTTCGAACACACTTGTGGTGACGGGTGCCTCTCATGCTTGTCGTTGTAAGTTTGTGTGAAATTTTCACACACTTGTGGCAACAAGCGCCACAAGCGCGAGTGGTGCCTGTCGCCATTAATCAATTACTTTACACTTTTACCATGCACGCCTTAAGCTCCTCATTCTTGAATTCACCTGCCCTCTCTCATTTCCCTTAGGTCTCTCTCACACCCCCAGCTTCCTTCATTGTCCTTTCTCATTTCATCTTAGCTGTCTCTCTCTCCCGCCACTCCCTTCAACTTCCTCGCTCCCTTTAGCTCCGCTCTCCCCTCAGTTACCTCAATCCCGTTA